CAATGAATTCTCTCTTTTTTGTTGTTGTTGTTGTTGTTGACGTGACAAATTTATTTTTTTAAAAGTGTTTAAAAAAAATAACTTTTAGATTTGATGTTTGAATAGGTATTGATACCGTAAGATTTTAAATGCCATAAGAAGTTAGTAGTAGGTAAGAGTTAGAAATTATTTTTATACAATTTTACTATTGCGAGTAATAAATAATTTTTATAATGTGACGATACAATAAAATTAAATTAAATTTGTCGTTAAATTATTTTAATAAAAAGATTATGTTATGTTACACTGTTGTTAATGAATATTTAAAATCGATATACGTAAATAAATATTTTTTTTTTTGTAATTACTTTAGGGAATATTAGTAAAATGTAAGTTTAAGACATTTTTTTTTTTTTGATAGATTGTTTTCAAAATGTAAATTAATAATTTTTAAATTGAAAACAAAATAAAAAAATTATATCACAGTTTTTTTGTTTTTTTTTTTTTTTTAGTATAGAACATCTTCGATTTTATCTTCGTAAATAGCAATGACATACATTAATAATCCTCCGCAAGTAACTCCTAATATTTGTGCAAGAACGTGTTTTATGTGAAATGCTTTTGATCTCATTTCCGGTAGCTGGAAAAAAGGTATGAATTAATATTTTTATTTATTTAACACATTATTGGTAGTGTGTTTTTTTTTTAACTAACTAAGTCAGAAATTGCTATGTATAAAAAACTTCCTGCCGTAAATGCATTTATCCATAAAGAAGCATCGTAGATTTCACCCATGAGAATACCTGCTACCATTCCAATAAAACTGAAGACGGATGATAAAAAATTATAAAAAAGTGATTTTTTAACACTCATTCCACTTTCCAAAAGTACGACGTAATCACCTGACGGATAAAAAAAAAATTTAAAAAAAAAAAAAAATTATTGAGTGATTTGAAAAAAAAAATAGTTTGTGTTTTACCCATTTCGTGTGGTAATTCGTGACAGAAAATGGCTATGGAAGAAGCAAAACCGGATGATATTCTTGAGGAAAAAGCAGCTCCAATCGAAAGACCATCGGTAACGTTGTGAAGAATATCACCGATGATGGTCATTGATGCTAAAGTGTTGACATCTTTTACTTGATGGTCATGTTGGTGATGATGATGATGATGATGTTGATGTCGTTCGTCAATTTCAACTTTATTAACAATTCCAGGTAACATTTTATCCATTTCGTTAGATTTTTTAATATTTTTCTAAAGGATTTTTAATTTTTATTAATAATTAAAAATTCTACATTAGCTAACATATATTCCCACATTTATTATTATTATCTTCTTTCATTTTTTTATTTTTTTACCTTTGATTTAATTTCTTTGAGTGCGTTTTCAATGATGAAAAATAAAAAAATTGAAAATAATGTGAGGGTTCCTTTAAAAATTAATGTCGTATCCGATCTGGAAACATTTTTTTGTACGAAAACCTTTAAAAAAAATTAACAATTTTAATTAATTATTAAAATGTCGTAAATGATTTATTTATTATTTTTTAAAAAATTTATTTGTGGGTCAAATATTTCGGTAAATAAAATTTTGTTCGCAGTAATGTTGCGACTTGATAAAATCACAAACAAATGAGAGTGATAACATTGAAAAAAACAATGTATTTACCTTAGTTACGGCATTTAATTTATTATTATTATTATTATTATTGTTAATTATCAAAATATCCTTGATTAAGTTAAATAGGGAAAAAATTTAAAAAAAAAAAAAAAATTAATATTAATTACGTGTGGTAGTAAATGAATAAGTGCATCACCGCATAATGTTCCAGCAGCTAAAGATACTAAAAATTGTATTATGTACGAATACCCGTGTTTTTTAACAACTGGAACGATTAGTACGCAAACCATTCCAGAAATTCCCATAATCAATATCGATATAGTTGCATAGATCCAAACTGTAAGAAAAAAAAATGAATGAATGAATGAATGATTGAGTTAGGGATTCTTTTTTTCTTTTTTTTTGTCCAACCTAAATAATATTCCTTGTTTTCTTGAAAATATTCATCTTGGATTTGACATAATTTATTATCCAATTCGTAAATAATGGCCGGACATATTTGTAAATATTTGTTGGGAGAAATGATTACGCTGTGATGAGGTTGAAGTCCAAATGCGAGCAATATATCTTGAGGTGTTAAACATTTTCCTTTGAATTTCGTCAAATATTCAATCGTTTGTTCAGAATCATCGCCATCGCCATCGCCACCACCACCACCACCACCATCACCTTAACAATAATTTTAATTTTAAATTAACACCGTGGAGAATCACAATGATAATGATAATAATAATAAAATCACAAACTTTGGTTATCTAATGCATTTCTCTTATTCCTTTTATTTATATTTTGAATTTCTGATAAATTATGATCGTGTTTGTGTAAAAACAATTCATCGTGTACGTCTTTAAACGTTCCATTAACTATGTGAGTCGATAAATCGTGATTTTTTTCAAATTTCAATTCTCCCAAACCTAAATTTTCTAATAAATGTTCGAAACCCTTTAACAAAAAAAAAAAAAAAAATCATTCTCGTTTTTTTTTAAACTAAAACGAATTTAATTAACACGCACACGCACCCACACACATTTAAAAAAAAAAAAAAAAAGAAAAATTTACCTCGTATGTTATCGTGTTGTTATTACCATACTTATTAAAAATAGCATTTATAAAAAAACTTTCGTTAAAATCTTCTAAATTATTAGCATTATTATTATTATTGTGGTTGACGGCGCCACAAAAAACATCGTTTGAAAAATAAATAATTAATAATAATAATAACGATAATGATAATGATAATTTAAATTTAACGTAATGAAAAAAATTCATTTTTATTTATTTATTTATTTATTTATTCGACAACATTTCACAAGAATACGATAATGACGCGAAATTTTAGACAATTACTCTTGTTCTTGTTGTTGTCGTCGTTGTCATCGTCATACGTCTCTGATATTATTATTATTATTATTATAATCTCAATGATTATTATCCTATTAGAGTAATAATAAAAATGGTCCTTAGAAAAAAAAATTTCAGTTGTTGAAAAAATGCCACTGTCACTGCCACTACCACCACTACCACTACTACCACCTTCCTTTTTCAATGGTTAAAAATCACAAATAATAATAATGATAATAACGAAAAGGAAAATTAATGAATGTTATCACTATAAACAATTATCACGAAAAACATTTTATTTATTTATTTATTTTTTTTTTGTTTGTTATCGTGATTTCGTTATCAGATAAAAAAAAAATTTTTTTTTCGAATATTGAATTTTGTCCGTTAAAAAAAAATTTAAATTTACCTTGACGTTGTTAATAATAATAATAATAATAATAATAATTTTATTTTTCAAATGTCGTAAATACGAATTATTTATCGATTTAATTAATTTTGAATTTTTTTTTCTTATCACTTTCACGTCCACGTAATTTATAATGAAAAAAATTTTTTTTTTTTTTTTAAAGTTGTCAACACTGTCTAAAATAATAATAGAATATCATAGAATTGTTAAGAATTTAATGATGAAATCAAATGTATAAGCGTTATAAAAAAAACAAAAAACAATAATCGATGGAAAATGGGGGAAAAAATGAGGTAAAAATTATTATTATTATTATTATCGTTATGTTGGGGAAAAGTTTTTTTTTTTTTTTTTTTTTTTTTTTAAAGACAAGATGAAGAAAATTCATAAACGTCATAAATAAATAAAAAAAAAAAAAGTAATTAAAAATCGTTGAATTTTTTTATTTTATTTTATTTTGCTAAAAAGGTTTTTTAATTTGATTAACTTCATTAATTACAAGTTAAGGGAACAAAAAAAAATTTTCTTTTTTCTTTTTTTTTAATCCCTGTGTGAAAATTCTTTTACATTTTTCACCAAAATATAATTTTTTTTTTTTTTCTAAAAAAAAGAAAAAAAAGTTTAGTCTAATTAGCTTTTAAATTTTTTTTTTCTTTTTTTATTTTATGAGTTTGAAAATTAAAAAAAAAAAATAAAAATAAAAAAATTTATTTATTTATTTATTAAAATTTTATGAGTTTTTTTTTTATATATAAAAATTTTAATTAATTTTATTATTATTATTATTATTATTATTATTATTTTTTTCATTTTTTTTTTTTTGACAACAATTTATTTATGTTTGATACAAAACTTTGAAAAGAAAAAAATTAAAAAATTAAAAATTAATAAATTTTCCAGTATTATTATTATTATTATTATTATTATTATTATTATTATTATTATTATTATTATTATTATTATTATATTAATAAATATATATTCGATTTAACAAAAGGTAAAGAAATTTAGTATTATTATTATTATTATTTTTGTTACGCACGACGCAATTTATTTAACGGTTTTTTTTTTCTCTTTCATTTCAAAAAAAAAATTTAAAGAAAAATAAAAATTTGTGATTGATAACAACAATAATAATAATAATGATAACGTTTGGGAGATAAATTAATTTAAAATATTTATTTTATTCTTTTGAATTAATTTCGTCACGGGTGGACGGGGGAAGGGGTTTATTTTAAATAATAAATTATGGTTATTAATTTTTTTTAAAAAAAAAAAGAAAAAAGTCGTTAAAATTTAAATTTTTCACGTATTCATTCATTTTTCTTTAATCGTTTAAAATTAACAACAAAAAAAAATGGAAATTCTTTTTGGAAAATGGTAGACCTGAAACGAAAGGCGGTGGGGGGCGAAGGGGAAAGGGGAAGGGAGAGAGAGAGAGAGTGAGAAAATTTTCGGGAAAAATGTTAAAAAGAAGAAAAAAGGGAGAAAAAAAATGAAATTAATAAATGAAAAGTTTTTTTTTTTGTTAGGGGAAGGTGGGGGTGGAATGAGAAAATGGTGGCGATTATCATATTGATTATTATTATTAATAATATTAGTTTTTTTTTTAAATTCCGCCATTTTTATTTATATATATATTTTTTTTTTGTAAAACTGCTAATACAAGAAAAATTGGTGCTTATTCCCAACGGTTAATAATTTTAAAATGAAAATTTCATCCCTTTTTTTCCTTTTTTTTTTTTTTTAGTACTAGTCAATAATGGAGTGATGGTGATGGTGGTAACCGTTTGTTCGGTTCACAAGGGATGTAAATTTAAAGCGATAAAAATATGAATAAAAAAAAAAAAAGAAATATTTCCTCAAGCTTTTTTTTTTTTTTTTATTTTTTATTTTATTTCTTTTTTTTTTTATGAGAAAAATTAGAAAGAAAAAAAAAAAAGAAAAATTGAAATGAAATATAGGGATTATGAAGAATGATAAAAGTAAAAAAAAAAAAAAAAGAAAAGAAAAGGAAAAAAAGGAAAGAAAAGGAAAAGAAAAGGAAAAAAAAAAAATTAAATCAGAAATACATCTGCAATTCAATGATACGTTCAACTTCGTTGAAAGCTTTTTTTCTCTCTCTCTCTCTCTCTCCCCCTCTCCCCCTTCTCTCTCTCTCTCTCTCTCTCCCCCTCTCCCCCTTCTCTCTCTCTCTTCTTTTTTTACTTTTTTTTTTAT